CTATACTGACCAAGTGAGTTAATTCTGGTAAAAAAAGTGACCGTCTTTACTGACTACACCTCCCAGGCTAAACTATCTGGCTAGTCACAGGTTCTGCTTTCTATTCTCCTGTGCGTTGTTTTGGGGTGTTTTTGCTCTACAAGTTATCTGAAAACTAAAAGCAACACAAGAAATGCATATACACAGGGTACACTTTCAGAAATTCTTTCATTTCCGCCCACTAGAATATAACTGGAATAACTGACATGTCTTGACATCTGCTTAGGAACACTTGTGACAGGTAAAATAATGCTTATTATCTACAGGTATCCTATCCAGCAACTTTCTTCCTAGTCATCACTATTTGTGAAGTGCACTGTTGCTAAATGAGCTATGTACAAATGTAAACTATGTAATTAAAGTTTTAAAATAAATAGACAACCTTTACATTAGGTAGCAACTTGACAATAAGGTAATAGATCATCCAATTATATCTTTCAAACAAAATGATCTGTGTATGCTGCTGAACATTTTTTTTTTTAAATGAAGAAAATCCTTGGCTCACAATCAATCCTGCAAGAACTTCCTTGGTTTTCTTTCTCTAGGCTGGATAATTGTGTAAAAACTCCTTAAGTTTTGTTGGATAGTCTGTCATCACTCCAGTTGCTCCCAGATCAAATGCCCTCTTGTATTCTTGTTCTTCATTCAGGACCCAAATATACACCTGTAAAATGGGATAGAAGGACAGATTATTACAGGAAATACTAAAATTAAAAAAAAGGTGACTTTTGACCTAAACTGTTCCATGTGAGAGAGATGATGCCACATATATTTAAAATGATAAATGATTACACTGTGATGCCAAAGACATGCACACAAACATAGCCAGCTTCCTCCTCCTTGCCCTCCAAAAGGGGCGTTTTCTAGTGGTGACTCCAACTCCATTTCATTACCTGAGACTTCAGATATTTCCAAAAGTCAAAATATTAATTTGTGAAAAGCCCAAAATAGGGAGGCAGTGTCACAGGTTTTGTAGGCTTAAGTTTGAAGTGGGGGAAAAAATAATCCTAAAGGGGATTTAAATTAATGAGTTTTTTTCCAAGCATACAATTCTTCCTTTGCAGTTACAGAAGTGCAAATATAAAAGCACAAGCTATTGCTCAGGAACCAAAAAGTAACTGACGATCCTAGCAACACAACTGGAAATGCTGGGGAGAACATGAACCCATCTTAAGGCCACATCTGTCTGGTTGAAACCCCCCTAGGTCAAAAGCACATTTCCTTTGGCTTTGCCACACTGTACCTGAATGCCCCGAGCAGTGAGGTGGTCAAAAAGTGCTTTCCGCATTAGCAATCTGTGGAAAGGAGAAAGAGACTATTTAAAAACTTGAAGTATATATGAAATTTTCAATGTTGATGTTCTGTAACAAATTTTCCACAGAACGTTTAGATTCAACGTTTTCCACGAGAAAGTGATTAGAAACCTAATTATTGAAAAATTTTAGTTCAAGCAACTCAAGCCTGGTTAACACAGACACCCAGGAATTCACGTTAACTACAGATATTTGTTTCAACCTCTCTGAAGATCAAATCCAGGAGGCTCCTCCTTCATCACACAGGTACCCTGTACCACGTCTGATGAATCAATCCCTCCGCTTTCAGCACAGATTTTATCCTTCACACCAAAAGACACCAAAACTCTACTGGCCGCTCAAGAAATCAAACTAACAGATGTCAGACGCAGAAGCAAGAGCCAGAAGACACTGACACGTTGGACCTCTGAAAGCACAGATATTCTTATAATGCAAAGTGTTCTGTGTAAGCCAAAAGTATCTCCTCTGACAACATTATCAAACAGTCACAATCCCACGAAACGTGAAAGCTGCATTTCCAACCTACCTGCATGCTAATTAACTGAACGCACTTAACGAACGCAGAAACTAAATGGACTAAATTGGAATAACGCCCACTGTTACTGCACCTCAGTATGTTTCAGTGCATGAAAAATAAGAGTGTACAGGAACACCTACATAAGATCTGAATATGATTTATACTGCACTGACAATAATAGAAGAAACAGAAAACAATTACAACGTAACAAGTAACTATAGCAATAGCTAGTCGTAGTTGCTTGAACCAACTGTTAGTATATAGGCAAAATATAAATAAAAGTTTAGTAAGATTAAAATCTTACGTGTCAGCTAGCCAGATAATAAATTTCTGGCTTCTTGTCATCTTTTGTGGTTCTTTCAGCCTGTTAGGGAAACGGAAAAAAAGAGCACAGATTAAAACATTATTTGAGATGTGCCTGCAAAAGGAACATGAAGAATTAATCTTGCAGTTTCTCAAATTAGAGCAGTAATTTCACTGAGACAGTGACTTAGAATTGGGTTACACAAGAGAAATGTGCTACATTTAAGAGAAGCAGCAGAGACGGGTATTCAGCAGCATTTTAAAAAAAGCATGAGAAACACAGAGCACATGAAATCTCATATCTGCTCTATCCCTGACTCGGCTCTTGGCCTTAAGCAGACTAATTTGTTTTCGAGAAAGAGGGATAAAAGTGCAAGAATTAGTTATTTGTACAGCACTGCTACATGTTGCTACCTAGACAACATCAGCATAAGCTGCATTGTAAAGGCAGCTGCATGAAGGTGGTAATTCCAGGAGATGCTGTGAACAGGAAGCACTGATATACGCAGGCACTCCACACCAACAAGTAAGGAACTCAGAGCTGCCTAGAGACAGGCTAAATCCAGGGAAGCAGAAGATCTGCATGGCTTTCTCTCAGGAATATACAAAAGTGCCTGAACTAACACCACGGTATCCTCAGTCCAAAGACATTCACTAAACCAATGCTCAAACTGGCAAGACCATTCACTTGCTTTACCATCATTTCAGTGCAGCACCCACGGACGGACTCTAACTCACTTGAGGATGATTGAAGGCATGGGAATTTCCAAGAATTCTTCCTTGAAAGGAATGAATGGCAGCAGACCAGTGTAGAACAGGCCAAGAAGCAGGAGGACACGTTGCGAACAGAAGATGATGGGAATGTCAGCATTCTGCAGGAACCAGGAAAGAAAGATTCTAAATTATCTTGGTAGAGACTGTTGAGTGTGTTGTGACTAAATTTACTCATCGATGCACGTTTAAAGTTCAGCACTCGCACCTAGAGATTAGGCTGCCACCTGTTTACACTGTACCTGCCACTGAATTTAAATTACCCTTTCTTTTAGCTTGTCATCCAAGCAAAAGTTTTACACAATTTGAAGGGGCAATGGGAACCCGAAAAGGTAACGTTTCAACTGGTCACAGCATTGCTTTTGTTACCTTCCTTCATCCTCCTTCCAGAGTGCACGACACTGTGCAGCATTTTCTCTTAGAGCTGTATTACCACCAAGAGCAAGCTGTGCTTTAGCACAGGACTTATGGTTTGATACCACACCAACTCACTTCAGACACATTTTTGAAGATGCCGGTTTATGAACCAAAATAATTGGGCACTGATGCTACGAAAATGAACAAAGTACGAAATGGTGTGTCATCCTGCACAGACAAATCAGAAAAATATCTGTACTCTCAACTAGATCGATTTCACTCAGGTGCGTAACTCCCTCGGACTAAGCACAATTTCAATTTAATTCTAAATTGTACAATTCCTCAGCACAAAAAGGAACAGAATCTATAGCTGTAAAACAGCTTTATACTAATGTAACTGTGTGTCAACTAGGGGCCACATCCATTATTTTCAGAAAAAGAAACAGACAATAAGCAATCTTTAGAAAAATTGCTTTTGTACCAGGTGAATGATGCACAAAACAGGCTCTAAGAATTCCTGACATAAAATTGTAACGCCCTATATTTTATATAATAAGAATAAAACATAATTAAGCTTAATTCTTCAAGTATTTTATTGCAGAGTATGTGTGTGTTAACTGTGCTTGATTTATGGTAACAGTGTAATAAGCAGCACACAATCAAAATGCAAAATTCCTCATCACATCTGAAAGTCTGGCACAGCTGGCTAGATCATGATTTACAGGGTGCTTTTCTGTACATTTTGTCAACACACAGGAACATACGGGCAAGAATGAAGCTTAGGTGGACCCAGTCTTACCTCCTTAAAACACTTTGATACAACCTCATAACTGACATTCCCCCATACGGTCAAATGCTCTCGCTTGTACTGACTCACCAGCTCTGAAACCTGCAATATAAAAAAGCAGAACCCTAACAAGTATCCATGGAAAATAATGTGCAGAATTATTTAACTGAAACTCTACTTCTTACTTTTCAACTACAGAAGCCATTACAGAAAAGACAGTTCTTCTATATTCTGTCATCTTGAGATGATGGTGCTACTTTGACTGGAAAGAAATAGGTGTTCAGGTCAACAGATAAAAAGAAAGACCATTCATCATACCTACCAAAAAATCCTAGAGAATTTAAGAAAACGAGATGGCAAAATAGTATCTGATGGAAATCATATTTCCTTTTCTGTAACGAACACTTAACTTCATGTTAACATGTTTTTACGATGCTTTGGTAGGCAACACTCTTCTAAGACGACTCTTCAGGTACAAACCAATCGTGTGTAGCTGTGTAGCAGCAGTTTCACGTCGAGGTAAAGGGTTAGTAAAGAGCTGTTTGCTGAGTATCTTGCACAAGATCACTTCTCTGTCTTCTGTATTACCCCATACATGGAGCAAGATCTAACATGTCAAGGATGAAGCAGTCCAAGAACACCGATTTTAGTGTCGCAGACGGGTAGCAACTCCAAGAAAATTTTCCTTTGGGATTTCAACATGATTACACGACATCCAGACTCAGTTCAGTGTAGATTTTCACATACCTTTTTGATCAACACATTGTTGTTCACTTTGATGTCAATGTTGACAGGAGTTTGTGGAAATGCCTCAAACACCTCTTTTAGGAGTGGAATACGGTTGTCTTTTCCCTCACAGTGACATTCTGAGGAAACAAGAAAGTTGTCACTGCTGGAACCATTTTTAATACACCAGAGATAAAAGCTGAGATGTCAGAGTACTTGTTGCCTTAAAATTGGAAAAAAAAAACCCCAAAAACATTCCTAGAATTAGCATGCTTTTTAACTGAGAAACAAAAAATTTACTTCGCTCGGATAGCTGCAATTAATTATGGCAAGTTCATTTCCATAATGAAAACACACTGAGCATATTGTGCATTTAGGTTTGAATTTCATTAAACTCAGCCATTATTTAGCAACAGTAGGAGTGCAGGTATCGTTAAAATCCTGAAATAGACAACACTGAATTAATATGAAACAAGATCAAATGAGAAAAACTTGAAGGTAGGAAAATTTACTGGAGAAGCATAATGAGTGAAGGGAGCAAAAGGCAAACCCCTCAAACTTTATTGTCTGCTGGTGGTTGAGGCTCTAAGGAATTAACTGAAGGCTCTGGCCATTTCTTTGTATTACTGCACAAAACAAAAGATATATACGTGTGAAAACAACACGATGGATCTCATCTCGGCACATTTTAAGTATTTTGCAATTTTGAACACAAAGTTTAACACAATTTTCTTGCTGACTCATTAAAATATGGAAAGGCTACACAAGATAGTCACAAAGCCCCTTGAGCAAACCCATCTGACATAATCTTCAGTAGGCTTTTCTAGGTGGAAGTGCTCTCAGTTTTGGCCTCTATGCTTCAGTCAAATTACAGTCTCACGAATCACAGTTTTCACAAGAAAACAGATTAATCTTTTTTCTAGGTTTTCCTCTCTTGCAGCAATATTGGTACTGAACTTTAAGTCATACATACAGTAACTACTACTCTTTTCATTCACCCTTCTGAAAATGTCTGTATTATCTGACATCTCATGGCACTTCAAGCTCGAAGTGCACCAGCACAACAACATTTGAGTTATAAAGAAACTCTTTTCTGCCTTCTCTTCATTTTTTGAAACAACAAATTTTCAAGCTGCATCCTCTGAAGGCAACTGGCAAGCAGTTGCAAGAAGTAGACAAGTAAACAATTGAAACGTTTACTTGGAAAAAGGCATGTTACATCTTAAACTTAAGTCACTGCTAACTGGTATGGAAAAATATACTTTGGTTTCTAAAGCTAGGATTATATTTTTCTTTTAAAACTTCTCTTATCAACATACTGATCGAAGCAAATCCACTCTTCTCCTCCCTTTGCCAAAATAAGAAATCACCACACTATAATAATGGAAAATTAGTTACTGCTACTGTAAACCGAAACAGCAAAAGACAAAAACTTACCTTTCTGAAACGTGACATCCAACCTGCAGAGATATGGTGGAAGTTCCTTAAAAATAAAGTGAAATGGAACACTAATTCAAATGCAGTGATATAATCATGACTTTTCTCAAAAAAGACAAAAAAAAATATAATTCATAAGCCATGGAAGTTATCTTTAAAGGCAAAAATCATATATTTTTTAAATCTTCTTGCCCAAAAAGTGACTTAGAAGCACTGTGTTCATTCTCTCTTATATGGAAGTTATCTTTAAAGGCAAAAATCATGTATTTTTTTAAATCTTCTTGCCCAAAAAATGACTTAGAAGCACTGTGTTCATTCTCTCTTACTATTTGGCATTCTTAGACTTGTGTTACCTGTAGCTGAGTAAGACAAAACGTTTCCAGACACCTGTCTGAAAATACTGAGAAATCCACTGAAATATCAAATAGACAGTTCTGTAAAACAGGCTTTTAGAACTGTCAGTGCAGGTGGGATCCATCTACCAGTTTTCCCATTAAAATGCTGGTCCCATGAGAAGGAGCTTGTTGACTCAGTTTCCTTTGTCATCAGTATGGCAAAACAGGCCCACCTCCACAAAGCTATTTATCCAAACTACTACAGGACGGAGTTAATCATCCGCTGGAAATGTGTTGTGTTTTTGCCCTTGACTACACAGGGAGCCTCGTTTTTTTGTTTTTTTTTTTTTCAGTAAGACAAGATGAACCCCTTCCTTGAATTTTGGATACTAGACATACACACACATGCACACGACCTTCCTGCCCACCCCAGCCACTCTACAAACACGTTTTCAAACATCATCTAGCACTAAAGTTTTTTCTCCAACTTACAGAGTACTTGAGGTCAGATATGTTGACATCAACTCCTGTTGATCTCTTCAGGTTCTCATCATGGGACACAACCACCTGCTCATCCTTTGTTAGGTGACAATCCAGCTCCAACATGTCTGTTCCTATATTAACAGCACTGGAAGCAGAGAAGCCTGCCTTGAACCACACATGTATTTCATACAGGTCCAAACCTAACACATATGCGTTACTCAATTCAACTAACCCCAGTGGAGGTACTTTAGATGTTTTATGAGGCAATGAATCCTCACAACCTTGCTGCAAAGCAAGAAGCAAACAGCTCTGCTGCAGTGTGAAAGCTGATGCAAGAATGAACAGCGCATCATGAATCAGAGATGGGATTTGAACTCGGGAGCTGTGGCTCCGTCTTCCATAGAAAGCTGTTGATTGCAGCCTACCACCCCAGTATTGAGAAACCGACTTCTAAAGTACTGGTTCAGAACTTCAGAGTGTGATTTTTATTAGTAACAGCACATTTACCACTGGAAGAAGTCAGCTCTTTTAAAAAAGTAATCAGTTTTATGGTATAAACAACAAATGGCATGGATGTGAAAGCCTTGTTTTACTTAATTTAAGTTAATAAGGAATGGATGGATCAGGAAATTAGCAAGGTGGCTTTCAGGCTGTTGGCTTTTTTGGCTAGCAAAACTACATTTAAAAAAATATATTATTTTAATGAAAAAGTTTTAATTTTAAATTAAAAAAAAACCCCACCACTAAACCAGTCATATTTTTCAAAGAAAAATAGCTATTTCGGTTCCAATCTGCTGCTTTGAAAAGTTCTAATCCATTCTACAGAAGCTTAGCTCACAGGAGGAGTAAAGAAAGCAGAAAGCAGTAATAACATTGATGAAAAATAAGTGCAAGAAACCTCACCCCAGAACAGAAAAATTAAGCTTTACGCGAATGAGAAATGAATTGCTCATTCCATTAGAAAAGACACTCCGAAGGAATCATTCCAGCAGACAGCTGAAAATCCTAGCCTGAAGTCTCAACACTTCCTTCAAAACATTGAGCTGTTCTTTTTATCCACCTATGGACAAACCTGTAACATCTGTAACATCTGGAAGCACAGTCTACACTGCAGTAGCAGCCTTCTCCTTAGGAAAAGGGCTTTACTGACTGCTGAAGCACAGACATGCCATAAACATCCACAAATGCAATAACAAAACAACTACAAGAATTAAAATATACTCCCATAAGTGCTTAACACAATTTCTGGTCCAGCTGGGATAATTATCAAGAAGGGGGTTGTCAAATTAAAACCAATTCGTTAACTGATTTCCAGTGCCACTAATTAAGAATTAGGAAAGGAACAAAATCCTATTACACATGGAAGATACACAGCCTGTTCTGTGTAATTTCTCCTCCTGAGGAAAAGCATCTCCAAATAGGCTGCAGGAGATGTGCCAAATTTGTAGAAGACGTTCCCATCTAGTACTCTGTATTATCATTTAACCAGCAAAGTTTATGAGAAATACTACTGCTTAAGAAATTCAGGACCGATGCTGCATGGAAGAAGGAGAACAACAACTTGCCTTGTTAACAAATTTGAGAATTTGCCAGGCTCCTACTAGCAGCTTGCGGCTAAATAAGCCTCCTTAAAGTGCTGTGTTTCTTCAGCTGGAAATCAGTTTGTTGTGCAGCTCCGTAATAACACATCAAATCTACGTTGCCCCAGAGCAGACTCCAGATGTTTGCCAGATTCAGGAGAACGTGTTGAATTCAGATCCAACTGCTCCAGAACTCAAGTTGTGAAGCAGACTCACATTTGCAAATTAGGACGATGGAGCTCTTTGCCTGTGTTTAACTCCAACTGTTTTCAAGTCAAAGGGCATACCAGGAGATAGAGAAGAAAAGCCTTACCTTGGAAACGAAATTCCATTAGGCAAGGCCTAACATAGTACAATGTATAGAGTTTATAAATACTAAGCTGACCACGTATTTTTGTTGTTGTAACTACAGTGTTCAAAGCTTTCACTCTAAACCAAATATGTTCATAAAAGAAAAGGAAATAACAATGAGAAAAACATCTGGAGAGTTTACTTAGCACCATGCTGTCAAGACAATTCTAAAGCACATGCCTGTATTAGGGACAATTAAACTTGTAATTAAGTTCCTATGCCAGATCCCCAAATACTTTAAGACACTGCCAAGTGTCTCTTTTAGGTTAAAATAAATTATTCGAAAATCTAAAATCACCACAGAAGCATTTAAAAGTATTTAAGTACAACATGACTATAGCTCAAAAAAATCCATTACATATATTACCGCGCAAACAAAAAAAATATCGTCTTTGGTACAAAAACCTTGTGATAGCTTTCCAGAAAATTTCTAAGTTGAGTTAGTATGGAACTTCAGATTGCCAATAAAGCCTTCTGCCCCCCCACACTTTGTTTATATATTACTACAATAATTTCTTCAGTATTAGATATTCTCCAATCACCGTTACAGTGTAAATAGCATCAATAAAAGTATTTGCTTGCCAATACTTGGGTTACTGTCAACAAAGCAAGAACAAGGGGGTAGGTCTTACGTTGCAGACAAGCATTCTCTTCGGATTCTACTGCATCAATGATCAAACATGCCTGCTTGTCCCAACCTGCAGAAACAGCTCTTGCAGGCACGCCCTACTTGGCTTCACGCAAAACCTAATGGATTATAAATTGATTAGTTCACGCTAGCCATCTGAGCCAATATAGCTGATTTTTCACCATGCAGATCACCAGTTTTCTACCCAATTCCTTTGCTAGCTTACCAGTGGAGATGGGAACGACAAAGCCTTTATCTCTCCACAGAGGAAGTCAGAAGACTTTCTACTGCCCAACGCAAAGTAACCGCTCTGACTCTGCTTTCTGCAGAAGTCTTGTGCCTTCATTATTCGGCCAAGACAATTTCAAAACAAGTAACTGAACTTTGCTACTGGCAGTTGTGACGAGCTCAACACATGTTACACTATAGTCGTAAAACAGTTAAAACAGTCAGAGAAAGTCAGACAAATGCCTGTATCATCACAAAACATTACTTGACTCCTAGCACAGTCCTTACTCCAAGTACTACAGCTTACTTCTGTGAATGGAATAAAAATAAGTTGTGGTATAACTTTCTCTGTAAGAGCCCTATACATCTAAAACCAGTATGATACTAAATGAAAATTAAGGAATGGTTAAAAAAAAAAAGAAGCACTTGCCAGAAAGTGTGGTAGCAGACTCAAAAAAAAGGCAGGCCAGCAGGAAAAAACCCACAAAACTATGCTAAGCTTCCATGGAGATAGAAAATACTGCAGTACTTTCAATAGCACTGCTTGGTTGGGAAAGCTGGCACTCCTCAGCCTGCAAGGAAATGTGCAAACTGATGAGGCTACTTAGCACAAAGCAAATTAAAAAACCAAACAAAACCAAGAGAAGCCTACATAATTTGGTCACTGCTCATTGGCAGCCAGAGTTTTAGACTCACTTCTTTTCCAAATGCCTTTGAGAACCTTGTTAGAATTCCCTACTTAAATGCTGGAGGCTTAAAAGGCTTTCCAGTACCAACTCCATTTTAAACCCCTAGATAAGAGATTTCACACATTGTGCGAATGAAGTATGTGTATGGAGGGGAAAACTACATTTTTAATAGCTTTACAGATGGCATATTAAAAGTCAGTTAACATTAGGATTTCAGTCACAATAATTCTAGGGGACAATTGTTATCCTTCTATACAGAGGAGGAAATTGAATACCGTGAAACCATGGAACATTTAAGAGAACTGCTACAGCCATACCAGCAGTCAAGAGATTCAGACTTCCTGAAATCAAGCCTTGTATGCTAATTAGCATATTGCTATGATCTGGAATACCTTTTGAGAAACGTCAATGTATCGAGAAAAAACAGTGTGTGATATTAGTTACAAAAAATAGCTTTATAATGATAACTAAATCAATGGAAGTAATCATCATTAAACATGGAAGAAGCACTGTGTCGTGTTTGATTACCTAGCACAAGAAGAACCAGCCCTCAGGGGTTGTATTTCCAATTGCCAGTCTACCACGTTACTGTGTACGAATCACAGCTTGTGGTATCTCAGTTCCTTCTGGTTTAAACTGGAGTGGTGTTTGGCAATCCACAGAAGTCAGTCAAAGCAGAGCCGACTTTCTGAAATACCACACTGCACCCCAAACACCTGATGGAAGCCCTAACTTTCTTGATTGCTTCACTCACTAAAGACAAGAACACTGCTAATTTAGGCATTAGTGGTTCCATTTTTACTCACTGGTGAAAGGCTGCCATCGTGTTTTCCAGGTTCTCTCCCGCACCTACAAAAATAACAAAAACTGAAAACATTACAAAATAATTTTCTTCCCCTCAATCCCAGTGGAAATAAAAAAAAAAAGGATTTAAAAATTTACATCTTTTGAGGAAATATTTGAAGGAACGAGTATGAAGCCAGAGTCAGAAAACCCTGTTGCTGCTAACCTACTGGGGAGACCCAAGAGACAGGACTTTCTCAAGCTAAAACAATACAAAAAAATTTTTTTTTTTTAAAAAAAAAAGGAAAAAAGACTGTTAACTTGGATTTGTATAACATTTAGAATATGTTCCACAGGCATAGGAACTGTATATACAAAAAGTCTATTTCAGAGTTAGTGGGAAGAGTAATAAGAGGAAAAGTAACTGGGGGGGAGTGCCAAAGACTCACTAAAGCTGATATTCCCTAAACGCACAACCCAGTTGATGCTCAAAGAGGTGACAAGCTCTTTTTCCAGTTCAAGGATGCTTCCTGAAACAGCACAAATCTGTCAGTAAAGGTTTATGCTGCTGGGAAAGGGAGGCCTCATACACAAGGAATGAAACACACAACTCCAGATAAGAAATGAAAAGCAAGCAAATTAAATTTTCTCTCGGGGGGGGAGTAAACTCTTAAGCCATCGTTTTCCATATAATCTTTGAAAATCAGCCTGGTTAGGGACTGGAAAAGGTTGTGCCTTCTCCCTCCTTCAGAAAACAGGCAGTATTACATACTGAAAACCAGAACAACTTCAGGAAGATACATGTACTGATGAGGATATCGACGCAAATTTTAACTGCTCTTTGACAGTGATGAACGACAGACTTTGCAAATGACAATTATAAAAGCCTCAATTAAGGCCTTGCCTATTAACAAGACCCACCAGCACATACTTAACTAAGTCTGTGTTTAGTTAGTTAATTAAAACAATGCAATTCTATGCACGCATAACTAGTGATTTAAAACTGTTGCCATCAGGTTAGCTTGCATCGGTAAAAGACTTAACGGGCTTTGAATCATAATGCCAAAATCTGCATGGTTTAACCTAAACCAACACGGTAAGTCCACAGCAGCTTCTGGGATTATTCATTCACTAATATTTTACGGAATTTGACTGCAGAACTAGGAATAGGCTGAGTGGCAAAAGTGATTTAAGAAGAGCAGGAGAATCTCATCGTATACTTTTGACGATTGCCTAACAGATGGGAAAAATTTATATAGGACTTGGATGATTAGTCATAAGTTAACTGCAATACAAATTGAGGTTTTAGATAACTTATCAACTGTGACAATACAGCCCATACATCCTGAACAGTTAGAGAGGGGGGAAAAAACTGAGTCCGTCTTCAAGCTGTGAACAGGACAACAGTATCCTAACATTCCCGGGCAGAAATTTCCAAAAATCAAACTTTAAGTGACTGATCTAACAAGTCACATGCTAGGGAGATAGGTATGGTGAGTCAAACCAGTTGATATTTTGTTATCATGACTTGTTATGACTTGTCATGTTTAGGGGAAACGAGGAAAAAAGTTGAGACATCAGCTGAAACAGGAATTTTAAATCAGCAACATGGTTTTCACAAACCACGCTCAGAAAAGGGAACTACAATGAGGAAGTGACATACTAAATCATTTCTCCGCCTTAAAAATGAAAAGGTTGGGCTAACTGAAGGGCTTCTGACATGTACGTAAACGCACCTCCAGATTCCTGTGCTGTCCACTTGCCTTGTTGCACTTCCCATGCAGAAATTGCTTTCCCCAGTGCAATTTAGCACCCTGTAAGCCGAACAGCCACATCCAAACACTACGATCGCACACTCCAGCTTTGAAAGCACCACCGTGGGACAAGAGGGAGTCGATGTCAAGCACTGGCTTGAGGAGGTGACCCTCAGAAGTTCTGTTGGTTTGGGTTTTTCCCCTCGACGTAAGCAAAGAAGTGCATTAGGAAGAATGTTGCCAGCAGGTCAAGGGAGGTGATTGTTCCTCTCTACTCAAGACATGGATCTACTGGAAGAAGTCCAGAGAAGGGCTGAAAATTAAGGGATGAGAGATTCTTGCATACAATGAGAGGCTGAGGGTGCTGGAATTGTTTAGCCTGGAGAAGAGAGGCTCGGGAGGATCTTACCAACAGGTATAAATACCAGACAGGAGGGAGTAAAGAAGACTGAGCCAGACTTTTCTCAGTGGTGCCCAGGGCAAGGACAAGAGGCAACGGGAGCAAACTGAAATACAGGAAATTCAGTTTACAAACGTAAGAAAGAAAAAACTTTTTTATGGTAAGAGTGATGGAACTCTGGAACAGTCTGCCCAGAGAGGTTGTGGAACCTCCATCCTTGGAAGTATTCAACACCTATGGGGACGAGGTCCTGATAAACCTGCTCTGGTTGCCCCAGCGCTCATCAGATGAGATGATCTCCAGGGGTCCCTTCCAATCTCAACAGTTCTGTGATTCTGTAAAAATCATCACACTACCCTGTCTCAAAGACCCTGCAAACCAGTCCACGCAGCTGGCATTGACAGAGGACTCTAACACAGAATATCGAGACTTAATTATTGATCTCAGAAATGACTGATTTTAAAATTACGGAGAAGTGAAGAAATAATTCAGGGATGCTTCAGCTGATGAGCTATAAACCAAGATAAGAAAACTGAAGAAGAATGAAGAAAGAGGGAAATCAAAACCCACAGACTTAAAGAACTTCATATACAAGGCTTCAACTCAGAGAGGAAAAAGTCAAGCAAGTTAAGTGTTATCTTGATCTCCAAAGTTAATAGGAGTAATGCAACAGGAAACCTGACCCTGAGTCTAAAGCTACAGCATGATTAAAGCCTGGTGAGGATTTAAGTCTCACAAGAATTTAAATTACAAGGTAATAATACAGAGAGTAAAGAGTAAGTGATCTTTAGTTTCAGAGCACCCTATGAGCAAAAAACTGCTGAGATGTTAAGGGCTGTACTTTTACCACAGGTGTATGTCACGTATACATACCAACACCCGTGGACTTTGTCTCAACGCCTAATGAATAATCCTCCCATTGAGTAAGGCTTTCCTGTTGTTCTAATGGTGCTTAGCCCAACTGGCGGAAACACTTGCATTTTGGGCTTAGGGCTCTTAACCAAGGTCATTGCAAAGAAGTGAGAATAAAAGAAGATTAAGGAGATCACACCAAGTTCCAACAAAGTCATCAGCAAGTTTTTAATAGCTTGCAATCTAACAAACAAACAGGTAACAATCAAAATTGAAAACCTTTGTTTGTTGAATGAAAATACACACACCTACCAGGAAACGGCTAACATACATGTTCCAAACCAACAGGTGCATTTTATGCTCTATTTAAGACTATAGTTAAAGAAACTTAATCTGTCACATAAATTAAATCAAAGAAATGCAAGTAATAACATTTATAAAAGATGGGTTCTCGTTTTCATATGTTAATCATTCAAGGCAGCAGCAGTAGGTAAGGACCATTAGCTAGAAGTGTGATCAGACACTGCGTAAACTGGCACTAGATACGACACCGAAAACTTTAAACTCAGCATCTGACATATCTCCCACAGAATTTCGGGAAAAAACATGTACTAGAAAACTGACTGCCAATATTTTCACAAATCGAATAGGGCAGCAGGGAAAAGCGCAGAACTGATCTTCAAAGAACAGGAAAACAGAAATTGCTGTATTTTTTTTCCTCCCAATTCTTTGAAAAAGGTAGAAGAAGCTTTCTTTCAGCTATTTTGGGCAGAAGCAACCAAGGCCTTGATGTGAGGTGTGCGGAGGGGATGAGATTCCCAAAATGAGACCAGTTTTACCGCGGCGCTGAACCATTAACAGCCTCCATCGGCAAGGGGAGCAAGAACAGAGTCACAGCAAACTGCGATTCTTCTGAAACCCGAAGGCAAAGCGAAAACACAGCTGGAGGCAGGAGGACTGATCTTTTGTACCTGACCGCAGCACCAATCTCAGCCTCTCTCATTAGCAAAAAATACCGTACCCCGGAGCCACTGACAGGAAAAGAAATATGTACGTTTGAGAGGGGAACCATCGTAACCCACCTAAAACAACCCGATTTCGGCTGACGCGTTTCGCGCTCGGAGATTAATTCGGCTTTGAAATCAAGCACTGGTCAGCAGGTGGCACCTAAAATTAGGTTGCGGGAGGAAGGTTTTAAAGGCAGCCCGCTGGGAGCGGCGGGCACGGCGCAGCAGCGCCTCGGGACCCTCTCGGCAGCGCTCCGGAGGGCAGCGTCCCGAGAGAGGCGGGAGGCATCGCCCCCCGGGGGCGGCCGCGGGGCCGGGGGAGCCCCTCAGCGCCCGGCGGCGGGAAGGGCTGCAGCCTTCGCCC